GTGCTGAGGATCGAACTGCGGTCCCTGTGCTTTGCCAAGCTTGTTTCAAGTAGGTGCTTTAGACCACTGAGCCATCTCTCCAGCCCCAACTCTGCATTTTTTTAATAGTATGCATTTATGACTTTCAAAATTAGTAAAACAGTGAAAGACATTTACTTTGGATTTTTTTTTTTTCACGTCAGACAGGTCATGTGCCCACGTCGTAACAAGGTTTGAGAGAAGCACATCTTTGGCATAAGGTATGAACACCCATTCATCACACCCACGAATTTTTTTTTTTTTTTAGTGTACTTTTTTATTTTTTTTGGAATTTTTTTAACTGGACTAGAAATGGAGTAAAATTCAGGTGGTGAGGTGGCTGGAATTTCAAGTAGTTTACTATGGAAAAGTGCTGAATTTTGTTGAGGAAATGAGTGGTGGAAATAAGGTGATTTTGCGTTAGTTTTTTTTTTTTTTTTTTTTCATGGTATGGGGATTGAATCTAGGGGGCACTGAGCTACATCCTTAGCTGTGTGTGTGTGTGTGTGTGTGTGTGTGTGTGTGTGTATGTGTATGTATTTGTTTGTCTTTTTTGAGACAGGGTGTCACTATGCAGTTCAGGCTGGCCTTGAGCTCACTTTGTAGCCAGGCTGGGTTCAGATTTGCAATGATCCTCCTGTTTTAGCCTCCCCAAGTATGAGGATTATAACCATGTGCTCTCATGACCAACAATAACATGTTACACTCTTTTCTTTTTTTGTTTGTTTTCTTGTTTGTTTGTTATTTGGCAGAACTGGAGGTTGAACTCAGACCCTTGCACTTGCCAGGCAAGCACTTATTCTACTGAGCCACCTCCACAGCCCCCTGTTTTTTATTTTTTTGAGGTAGGGTCTCACTTTGTAGTTCAGGCTGGTCTTGAACTCACTATGTAGCCCAGATTGGCCACATGGCCTCAAATTTGAGGTGATCCTCTGTGTCAGCCTCTTGATTTCTAGAATTACAGGTGTGTGCTACCACACCCTCTTAATATCACTATTTTCATCAGAGAAAGGTATTGACTGCCTACTATTCCTTTACTATTGGCATCTTACTGCAGGCATCTCATGGGTCGAGTATATACTTACATTGATTTTTTTTTCTTTCTTTTTGGTGGGGGTGGATACCAGGCATTGAACTCAGGACCTCATGCTTGCCAGGCAGGTGCTGTGCCACTGAGCTAAACTCCTGCACTCCACCCCCACACACACACACCCTCTCCCATTATTTTTCAGTTGAGCTCTTTTTTTTTTTTTTTTTTTTTGAGGCCAAGATCACTGTGTAGTTCAGGCTGGACTTGCACTCAGTTTGTAGCACAGGCTGGTCTCCAGTTCACCTTCCAACTGCTAGAATTACAAGTACCACCATACCTGGCTTTTAGTTAGGCTTTGAACATATTCCTTTTCCCACCTTCCTCTCTGTGCTTTAACAGTTTATGTAATTGTGGTAGCTGCTTATGGACTTACAGAGTTTGCTTTAGTAAATAGCAGCTTTCTTTGCTCTAATAAAGAGAACCCATCAAGGTCTTTGCCTCTACTTTCCTTTCCCCCAGCAGAGCAGCGGTAGCCTTCTCCCACCTATGATGAGAGAGCTTGCTGTCCAGGTCTCATGGTCACTGTAGCCCAGGCTGATATAGAACTTTCAGTGATCCTCCTGTCTTATTCTCCCAGTGGTGAGATTATAGGCATGCGTTGGCATGTGTCACCATGCCTGGAAGTAACTTTTTTTGTAATGAAGATTGAAGCCAGGGCCTTACACACATGCTAGGCAAATACGCTGCCACTGAGTTACACCTTCAGCAGTTTTCATGTTGAGATCAGGTTTTGCTAAATTGCGCAGACTAGCCTCAAACTCGAAATCTTACTATTTCAGCCTGCTGAGTAGCTGGGATTACAGGTACATACCACCAGAGTAGGCCTGGGTGTCAGTTTCGGTCTCTCTGTCTCTGTCTCTATCTCTCTCTCTGTCTCTCTCTCTCTCTCTGTCTCTCTCCTAGGGGTCAGGCTGGTGTGGCATGTGGTGCCAGGGACTGAACCTAAGCTTGCCTATGCAGATGCTTTACACCACTGAGCTATCTTGCTGGCCAATCTCATTTGCTTTGTATGATACCTATGTATACAGCTGCCCATAGAATACATGGAATTAGTTTGTTTTTTATTTTTTCTGCCATTCAAATTTAACTTACTAAGAGTGTAGTCATAAATTGGGCTATTATTTGTATTGCTGTTAATTGACCAATTTATTTTTTTATTTTTTTTTTTTTCAGAACTGGGGATTGAACTCAGGCCCTTGCGCTTGCCAGGGAAGTGCTTATTCCACTGAGCCATCTCCCTGGCCCCCAATTTATTCTTTAAAAAAAAAAAATATTTGGTTGTTACAGGGTCCTACTATGCAGCTCTGACTCATAGTGATCCTCCTGTTTACAGCCTCCCTAGCGCTGAGATTACAGGCGATCGCCACCATGCCTGGACTCTGTAGGTGGCTTAGGGTGCCCGGGGGCAGGGCTGGTGTGACATGCAGTGCCAGGGATCAAACCCCAGTTCCTGCACTCATGATGCTCTTTTTGTTGGGTGCTGGACACCCAAGCCCAGGACCTGGTCCATACTAACATGTGCTCTATTGTTAGGCTATCCTGTCGGCTGCCCCCCACCATACACATACCTTTTGTGGTTCAAGGGATTGAGCACAGGCCTTGCTTGCAGAAAAAACAGACTATGTCTGAGCTGTACCCTTACCCTTTCATTTTCTATTTAAGTGTTCTAAAGGTAATATATATATTTTTTAAATCTTGGAATTTGACCTTTAATGAGTAAGCTATAGCAAGGTGTTATACCTGAACTGGGACAGTGGGGGCTGGGGGGAGAGGGTCCTTGAGTTCTTTAAGAAAGACCTAGTTAATGTGTACAGGAATCAGAATCCTTATTTTTTTGTCATTGGTGATTTATTTTTATTCATTTTTTAAAAAGACACATTTATTCAGTGTCATGATCAGGCTATTGCATTTAGCAATCAACAGCATGAGTGCAAAAAAAGGTCTACATTAAAACCCTTTGTTGGAATGCTTTATACTTTCCACAGAACAGAAACTAAACCTGCTATACAATTAGTCACAAATACAGTCCTCGAGTTTTTTACCCATTTGCATGAGTATTGTCTAAAACATGTCTTCTTTGTAGCAGGTAGGCCCTGCCACCACCGTGCTTGGCTGAGTTCACAAATCTATTGTAACCTGTAGCTTCCCTGTCACTTCTCTGGCTCTCCTCTCCTGCTAAGCTTTGTTTCCTGGAAGTGTTTAAAACCTTCTGCCACTGCCATATCTACTGCTGCTGCTGGAGCCTTCATAGCCACCTTGATTTCGTGGTTTGGTAAAATATTGGCCTCCACCACCATAGAGCCTAGAGCTTCTGCCTCAAAAGTTTCCTCCCCTAATGGGTCCAAAATTTGAACACTGACTGCTGTCATTGCCAAATTTATTATAGCTTCCACCACCTCCATAATTGCTTCCACTACCACTGCCAAAGCCACCTCCACCTCCATTGTTACAGCTGTCACAGCTGCCACTCCTGCCATAGCCACTGCCCTGGTTTCCATAACCCTGTCCACCACTTCCATAGCCTCTGCTTCCTCCAGAGAAACCAGGGCCACCTCCTCCATAACCACCATCATTACCAAATCCATTGTAGCCATCTCCACTGCCACCATATCCACCCCCACCACAGCTGCCACGAAAGCCACCATGACCACTGAAGTTTCATTTGCGACCGAAACTTATTGCTACCAAAACCTCCTCCACAACCACCACCAAAGTTTCCAGAACCACTTCGACCTCTTTGGCTAGATGAAGCACTAGCCATCTCATGCTTGGACAGGACTTTCCTCACTTCACAGTTGTGGCCGTTCACAGTGTGGTATTTTTGAATGACAATCTTATCCACAGAATCATGGTCATCAAAGGTTACAAAAGCAAAGCCTCTCTTTTTTCACTACCTTGGTCGGTCCTAATTTCAATCACTTTGATTTTTCCATATTGTTCAAAATAATCTTGTAGGTGATGTTCTTCAGTATCTTCCTTAATGCCACCAACAAAGATCTTCTTCACAGTTAAGTGGGTGCCTGGTCTTTGAGAATCTTCTCGAGTCAACTCTTTTTGGTTCCACAACTCTTCCATCTACTTTGTGTGGCCTTGCATTCATGGCTGCATCCACCTCCTCTACAGTGGCATAAGTGACAAACCCAAAACCCCTGGAATGCTTGGTGTTCGGGTCTCTCATTACCACACAGTCTGTGAGTGTTCACCATTGTTCAGAATGGCTCCTCAGACTCTCATCAGTTGTTTCAAAGCTCAGCCCTCCGATGGAGAGCTTCTGTAGCTGTTTGGGCTCCTTGGGAGACTCTGACTTAGACATGACGGCAGTCGGAAGAGAGCCTGATGATGCTTCCTCCGCCGTGTCCATCAGCAGAAAGGAATAAGCCAGTAAGTGTACTCCAATTTATTTTATTTTATTTTATTTTATTTTATTTTATTTTTTTTTGGTGGAACTGGGGATTGAACTTAGGCCCCTGAGCTTGCCAGGCAAGCACTTATTCCACTGAGCCATCTCCCTGGCCCCTGATTTATTCATTTTTAAATTTTATTTACTTAGAAGCATTCAGAATATCAACAAAACAGTTTTAATTTTTTTTTTTTTTTTTTTTGCAATTACAGAGTGGTATTCAGTTAACAAAACAATTATTTCACGTTAGCTGCATCAGAGACAACTAATTGAAAATGAAAAATTACCATCCCTACATATAACTAATTTATGCTGTACACCAACAAGAATCTGCTTTAAATTTCCATGCCAACTTACAATCCCCATACTGTACCAGGTGAGGTTAGTGGCTCTTGAAAACACCACCAGAACAGGGCTATCTAAAGACATGTTTAGGCCCGCCTTCCCAGCGCCCCGCGTGGCCGGGGCATGCCCAGTGCGGGCACCGCGGCCCGGCCAGAGAGCGCCCCCGGAGCGGGCTGCCGGGCGGAGAAGCCCGCCGGGTCCTGGTGGGCGAGGGCGCTGGGGGTCCTTCATGATGAGTGATTGGGAATACTTCTCTCTCTGTGTAGCTGATAAGACGTCTGGGTGGTAAAGAGATGGCAGACAGCGTCAAAACTTTTCTTCAGGACCTCGGCAGGGGAATCAAAGACTCCATCTGGGGCATTTGTACCATCTCCAAGATAGATGCTCGGATCCAGCAAAAGAGAGAGGAGCAGCGCCGAA